GCTTGTCTAAGCAGGTGCTTTAGACCACTGAGCTCTCTCTCCAGCCCATGATTACATTAATTATAGAAAATTTTGTACCTATACTATATATCTTTTTAATTAATTTATTTTTTAAATGTATTTAGTACAGGGTCCCCAGGGTCTCACTACAAAGATTGGACTGCTAGTGATTCTCCAGTTTTCAGCCTCCCAAGCGCTGGGTTTACAGTCACTTGCCACCATGCCCAGTCTTGTACTGATATATCTTGATTTTTTAAAAAAATGATGTTTGTTTGTTCGTATTTGAGACAGGATCTCGCTAAGAACTTCAGGCTAGCTTTGAACTCACTATGTAGCTCAGGCTGGCCTTGACCTCTCTATGATTCTCTCGCCTCAGCTTCATGAGTGCTGAGATTACAGGTGTATGCCACCACACCCAGCAGATGCTCACTAAATGAGAGGAGATATTATAAATTACTCTCCTAAATCTAGATGGCAGCACATTTTTATAAATGCATGTTTTAATAAAGCACATCTGTTGTTAACTTGAGTTCCCCAAGCTGATTCCAAATTTCCCTGTCATTCTCTCCTACAGTCTATTCGCTACTCAAGGGGCAGACATAGGAAGATTTAATGCTGATGAATTAATTGGATCGATTATCTCGGCTCTTTTCCTTACACGTTTGGTTCTTACTCCTCGGCGATCCTCAGCAATGTCTCCAGCACCGCCTCCCGCTGAAAAACCGCCCTTGCGACTCTGTGCGCACGCGCAATATTCCGATTGGCTCAGCCCTGAAGGAGTGACGTGCAGCATCGGCCAATGGTGTCGTGAAGAAGGTGGAGCAGCTCATCGAGAACACCCACATCCCTGCCCCTCACTGAATATTCATGAGAGGCTAGTTGCCGGAGTTGCACGCCGCGGTAGCAGCCATGAAGTGAGGAAGGGGCTGGGAGAGCTGGGAAGGTGGCGGGGGCCTGGAAGATGGGGGGACGGGTGGGTGAGCCTGTGGCCCCGGCGGAGAGAGGGGAGGTTGAAGGGGTAGGGTAAGGATGCTGCCGGGCCCTGAGAGGCGGCAGCGGGACGGAAGCGGGTAGACGCTAAGGGGACCCAAAGTGGCCCCTGGGGAGTTTGGAGACGTCTGGCTCGATGGCTGAGGGCTTGGAGGCCAGAAAGGGGCGGAGGGGACGGGACTGACGCGCAGACCCACGCCAGGCTCAACGTGGACGGGCTGCTGGTCTACTTCCCCTACGACTACATCTATCCGGAGCAGTTCTCCTACATGCTGGAGCTCAAGCGCACGCTGGACGCCAAGGTGGGGGCCCGGGCCGCGCTGCCCGCCTGACAGGTGGCACAGCCTCGCGTGGGTCTGCAGCCGAAACTGCAGCACCTCTGGGCTGTGGAAGTCTGAGGCCTTGCAGCTGGATATGGTGGCGCATACCTGTAATCACAGCAGTTTTGGAGGCTGAAGCAGGACAATCGCCACTTTTGAGATCAGCCTGGGCAAGTTGGTGACTTAGCGCGGCGTCCTTGTTGCAAAATTTAAAAAAAAGGAAGACTAAAAAGAAAAAGGGAAAGAAGTTGTTGCTGTAGCTCAGGGTTCAACACTGAGGGAAAAAAAAAAAGGGAAAAGGGGGCCACTGATCTTGCCTCGGGAATCCGGAACTGTTTGTTATCTAAAATAATGGCTAATACTAGCCGCAGCTAACATTTATCCAAGACCCAGTCTCCCAGTGCTAGAATGTATAGACTTTATGGAGTCCTACATGGCTTGGAATCCAGGAGCCACAGAGCTGTACACCTTTAGGCAAATCATTTAACCTTTAACCTGTAAAACGCGGACAGTTGGGGCTCGGAGCTCCCTAGTGTGTGGGAGCAGGCCGGAGGTACCATCCCCAGTACCATTTTTAAAAATGGAAGAAAGAAAAGCTGGGGGATAGGGGCTGGGGAGATGGCTCAGTGGAATAAGCGCTTCTCTGGCAAGCGCAAGGGCCTGAGTTCAATCCCCAGTTCCGCAAAAAAAAAGCTGGGGGATAGTGGCAGTCACCTACTTCATAGCTTGGAAGGGTTGTGGGACTTCATACAGGAAAATCAGCAGTTCTGATGGCCAAGGACGTTTGCCAATGGCCAGAGTGCTGTTCCTCACACCAGTAGGGGAGCAGAGCTCCTGGAAGCTGGCATGTAGGCACAGGCTTTGGAAGCTACGAACAACCTACCTTACAGTTAGACCTCATAACCAAGTGTTTTCTTTTGCCAAATGTCAGTAGATCAGAGGTTGAGCGACCCTGATATAAACAGCACTAAACACAGAGTACATGCTGTGGGAGTTTTATTTTCAACACTGGAAATTGGGCCCTGGCCTTTACACTGAACTATATCCCCAGCCTTTTTTTAAAATTTTGAGACAGAGTCTCACTAAGCTTCTAAATTGCTGATGCAGGGCTGGAGTGCAGGGGTTATAGACCTGTGCTACTACCCCAGTGCTATGGGAGTTTTTGCTTAGTTAAAAAAGAAAGGCGGGCTGGTGAGTTGGCTCAGTGGTCTAAAGCACCTACTTAGAACAAGCTTAGCAAAGCACAGGGACCACGGTTCAATCCCCCAGCACCACATGCCAGCCAGCCCCGCCCCCATGGGCTGAGCTCCCCCCCCCCACAAATAAATAAATAAATAAATAAAGAGAAAGGGTTAGGCTAAGGACATAGCTTAGTGACACAGTGCCTGCCTGGTAAATGCAAGGTTCTGAGTTTGAAGCCTAATACTATGAAAAAAGGAAGAGCCAGGCCTGGTGGCACCCACCTGTAATCCCAGCACTTGGGAGTCTGAGGCAGGAGGATCATTGCTCAGTTTGAGACCAGCCTGGGTTAGAAAGTGAGATCAAAGGGCCAGCCAAATAGCTCAGTGAATTAAAGCACCTGCAAGCAGGTGTAAGAGCCAGGGGTTCAATCCCCGGGCCTGTCATACTGGCCCCGCCCCTGGGGCGTGCTGAGACCGCAATTGAGACTGGGTGGTGTGGTGGCACGCACCTGTAATTCCAGCTCTTGGGAGGCTGTACACAGGCGGATCACTATGAGTCTGATCTAGTAGTGAGACCCTGAACACCCTGTAGACCCTTCCCTAAAATACAAAAGAAAAAAAAAAGTGAGTTCAAGGCCAGCCTGAACTGCATGGTGAGACCCTGTCTCAAAAAGGATTCACTGTCAGATACTATGTCATATACTGTACCTATGCCTTCTCATTCATGAGTAAGGGCTTCTTACACCATCCCTATCCCAATTCCCAGACCTGTCTTACTGGGGATATGAGTGAGGGGTCATGCATGAATTACCTTTCTGCTGTCATTTCTTTTTTTGGCAGGGGTGGGGGTGGGGGTACAGGGAATCGAACTCAGGACCTTGTGCTTGCCAGGCGGTGTGAGTAAGGGCTTCTTACGAGGGCCATTTTAGAGATGTGGATACTGTGGGCCAACAAAGTAAAGATTCTTGCTTAAGACCCTCAACAAGAAGGTGGCAGAAATGGAATGCAAGCCCCCTGCCACTGGGGTGCAGACTTTTAACTGCCCCATTGGCTTGATGTTCCTGGGTGGTAGTATGTGGGAGAGGGTCCCCTGAGGTTCTGAGAGCCTATCTCTTGTCCCTCCTGCCCCAACACACAGGGTCATGGAGTCCTGGAGATGCCCTCCGGTACTGGAAAGACAGTGTCTCTGCTGGCCTTGATCATGGCCTACCAGCGGGTGAGCGACCCTTGTGTCCATGGAGGGGAAAGTGGCAAGGGGCTGTTTGGGGACTGAGCTACTTGTCATTGACAGGCATATCCATTGGAAGTGACCAAACTCATCTACTGCTCAAGGACTGTGCCCGAGATTGAGAAGGTGGGCTGCCCTTACCAGCCTTCGGGTCGGGCCCTTGGATAAGAGATGGGGCCTGGCTGGCAGGGCTTGTGCTTCTCTGAGGCCAAGTCCCTCCCACCACCACTTGAACAGGTGATTGAGGAGCTGCGCAAGTTGCTCAACTTCTACGAGAAGCAGGAAGGGGAGAAGCTACCATTCTTGGGGTTGGCTCTGAGCTCCCGCAAGAACCTGTGTATTCATCCTGAGGTAAGCACCTTTTCCCACCCTGGGCCTAGGCTTGGGTTGAGTCAACTTCCACCCAGCCTCACCATCCCAATCCCAATTCCCAGACCTGTCTTACTGGGGATGTGAGTAAGGAGTCATGTGTGAATTACCTTTCTGCTGTCATTTTTTATTTTTTGATTTATTTATTTATTTATTATTTATTTATTTATTTTTTAATAATAAATCTTCATACTTTATTTTATTTATTTATTTATTTGTGTGTGTGTGTGTGTGTGTGTGGCCAGCTCAGCCCACCAGGGGGCGGGGCTGGCTGGCATGTGGTGCTGGGGGATTGAACCGCGGTCCCTGTGCTTTGCTAAGCTTGTTCTAAGTAGGTGCTTTAGACCACTGAGCCATCTCACCAGCCCCTCATTTTTTTTATTTTTTATTTTTTTATTTTTTGGGGAGCCGGGAGAGATGGCTCAGTGGAATAAGCACTTCCCTGGCAAGTGCAAGGGCCTGAGTTCAATCCCCAGTTGTGCCCCCTCCAAAAAAGTCTACAGAATTATTTTTATTTTTTTTGGCAGGGGCCGGGGTGGGGGTACAGGGAATCGAACTCAGGACCTTCTGCTTGCCAGGCAGGTGCTGTGCTGCTGAACTATATCCCCAGCCCCTGCTGTCATTTTTGACTTCTCCTTTGTGGCCTCATGAGGGACCTCCTGCAGGGACCATTCTTACACTCCCCTTGCGTGGGAGAGGTTGAAGGCAGCTGCTGAGGCCTGGTTTCCTAACTCTGACACTTAATCACTTGTGTGCTTTTGGATAGGAGATTTCTGCTATCTGGGCCTCAGTCTTCCCTTCTGTAAAACAGGGACAATTAAGTCCCTGCCTCATAAAGTTGATGAGATTGATTGGGAGGGTGCAGTTGAAGGCCTTAGCATGTATAAAGAGCTAAAGATGTTAGAAATTATCATACAGCCAGGTTCAGCGCCCATGTGTTTAATCCCAGCACTTGGAGGCTGAGGCAGGAGATCATGATTTCAAGGGCAACCTGAATTACATAATGAGACCCAGTCTTAAAAGAAAAAAATAAGGTATTTGTGTATATAATAACATTTGATGTAGAATATTGTAGTTGTTAACTTATATTACAAAAACAGTGTGTTTATTGTGTGCCAGGTGCTGGGTTTTTTTTGTTTTGTTTTGTTTTTTTGTTTTTTTTGAGACAGGGTCTCACCATGTAGTCCAGGCTGGCCTTGAACTCAGGCAGTCCTCCTGCCTCAGCCTCCCAAGTGTGGGATTACAGGTGTGCACCGCCATTCCCGGCCAAGCACTGTTCTAAGCAGCTGAGGTCTCCTAGCGCACTTGCCACATCACATTATTTGTAAGAACATTGAGAAATAATGCAGATGGCGGTGAGGACAACACGTCAGCAGCTGATGAGC